AGCTGGTAGCCCAAAAGACCAGGCAACTGCTTATTGCAGGGCTATTTTCAACAGGAGTGAAACTCTTAATTCAACTTTAACCTCCACTGCCGCTGTGCCCTCTCCGGCTTAGGTATGTATGTGGTACATACAGCATTAGCTGTGGGGAGGGAAGGACTGCGCTCCGAGGCTGTGTGAATTGGACTGTCGAAGCATCATGCTGGAAGCAGAAGCAGCTGTTGGAAACACAATGAAATCACAATCCAACATGCAGGTGTGCTTAGATGTACGTTCCAACTGTGCCACAATATATTTTTCCATCTGTTTTCTGCTGTTTTGAGAATGTACTCCATTGCTAAATCAAGTAATCTAACCTTGGAGAAGAAAAATCCTTTGGGTTAAGGCTTTAGAATAAGAGAATTAATATGATTGGAAAATCCTGTCTTTCTGAGGGTCTACTTTTGTCATTTACTTAGTTTAGGAGATGAATATGGCAAAATATTTATTATAGATGATATAGGCACTAGGCTGTAGTTTCCTTTTCTCACATACTCGTACATTAAAATTAATAGAAAAGAAGCTTCTAGCAGTTTAAACAGAATTTGTCTATATGACACTAGAAGTAGGAGTCTTTCCTTATTTTTGTAAATTATTTAGCAGCAGTACAAATATTTAAAACATTTAAAACCTCAAAATTGTGGATGGTCTCTTTTTTTTTTTTTGCTTACTTGTTTGCATTTTAAACACAGTTGTAATTTCAAGTACTATTGGTATCTCCTTAGAGAAGCCTAAATGCCTTTCCTTGCAGTGTCATAAAGCGTATAATGGCTTTGAGTTTATTTTGCCAATACTGATTATAGTTACTAATTGCTATTGCGAGAGAGGCTAAAAATTAGATGCTATAATTAGTGTATAGCCGGGGTGAATTCTGGAGTTTCTATGTAGGCACCAGGTTTCTAAGTCCAGATTAAACAAAACCTGAGTAACGGTGGTAGAAATTGCATTCATAAATATACAGATGTTTGCTGATATGTTACATTGAAGTTTGTGCTTCTGCCATATGTTCATGAGAGTTATATTTGCCTCCTTTACACAGAAGGAAATTTAGAATTGTATTATAGTCCATCAGTGACTATTTCTACTGCAAGCAAAAGTCTTGTTTAGCAACTTAATTTTCTTCCTTTTGAACTTCTCTAGCCTTCCACTAGCTGCCAAACCATCCAGTGATGAATATCTGTTTGCCCACAGAAATAACTCAATTTTCTTCCATACCTCCATAGTGTGAGACACCATGTTCAGCTAGAGAGCACCATAACAATGTGTGCTGCGTAACAAATTTAGATGTCTAAGGCTCAGTTCGTGAGTGTCTCTAAAATCTCTATGAACTGTTCCATAGCCTTGTGTCACAATTTAGGAGGTGGGGTTGTATTCTATGAATACGCATATAAATCTCTACATTTGTAGCTTAAATTCCTGCAGTTGTGTGTCCCAAAATGAGTTTATGGCATTTAAAAACCAAGTAACAGTTATTGTTATCGATAGTAAGACAAGGAGATTAAAACATTATAGCTTTTAGCTCTATGACACTAGAAGTAGGAGTCTTTCCTTATTTTTGTAAATTATTTAGCAGCTTTCTCTGCCTCAGAGTGCCACAGATTAGGTGTGGGTCAAATTGCGTTCAAACAGTAGCATGAGTTGATTTGGACAGGAACTTCTAAACACATTGTGATTCCCAGATCTCAGTTACCACCCTGAGACCCAGTAGAGCTTCTCTGCTGATTACCAAATGCCTACAGAACATCCAGATGATACAGTGATGTGCAGGGTTCTAAGCCCTGCTTTCTAAATTAATATGGTAAAATGCAGTACTCCGCTGCAAACTGACCTCAGACGTGGAGCCTGGTAAGAGCCAGTAGCAACCTACACAAAAGACAGCCTGGGATTCACCTTGCCATCGCCGTTGCTGTTGCAATTGCTTGTCAAAAGGGAAGGGTGGAAGTAGTGTAGACCAAAGATACCTTTAGGTGCAGCATCTAGAGGATCCCAAGGAGGTTGCAATAAATTTAATTTGGAAAGATTCAAAAGTTTTCATAACTAAAGATGCAAGACAGATGAGTAAGGATGAAATAGTGTAGGAAAGGATGGAGAAAGTTTTGGTTCAAGACCGGGATTAGATTGTACATCTCTCAGTGCCAACAGAATCACTGTGGTGGTTTAGAAATTCTGTGATATTAGAGAAACATTTACTAGTTTCAGAGAAACATTTATTTACAACTCCAGGAATAGTCTCAGTACAGACTGAACTCAGTATGAACTAAGTTGTTTTTGCCAAACTTCATGCAGCAGAGAAAATGTATTGTAAAGGAGATATCCACCCCTTCTGCTGCAGATCATCACACATCCCATATGCAGAAATGAGTGCAGAGACTGTGTCTTTGAAAGGTACGGATGTATGTAGTGTTGCTTGTGTGTTTATATAATATTTACTGGGGGGCAGGAGGGAGGACAATAAAGGAAAGAGGATATCAATAGGCATTAATGTTAAACTTCCTTTAAAAGCCTTGTGGTTATCAAGACCTGATTTACCTTGGTGTCTTTTAAGAGTCTGTAATGTCTGTCATTATAGCACAGGTGATACCTCCTTGATGCCATTTTAGATGTTAGTGAAGGTAAGAACCATAAGCAAAAAACCCCAGTCTGGATGCAAGTGATGACAGATAAGAACTCAGTTTTTGTAAATTCTTCTCTTGATGTAGCAACCCACACATCATTCAGTTGGTGTCTTCATCATGATGAAGATAGCCTGAATTCCACTTCAATTTCAAGTATCTAGTCAATGATGAGAGCTAAGTGCCTCTGAAGGCTTTGAGGAATGATGATTCACATGGCCTAAGACATGAAGTAGGGAGTTGCCTAAACCACTCGGTAGGAGACACTTGACACGTGGATTTGGTGGATTTAGAACATATGGATATAACACTCAATGATTTCAAGTCCATAAACACTTTCAAATGTATTAATTAATGTCTTTTTTACTAACAAGTCTAAATACCAATAGCTAATGCACGTTTTGAAACTCAATACAGTGTTTGAACTACTGTTGCAATTTTTGATGTCCTTCATTGATTCTTTGTTTCACAGGGGTTGAATAGCACAGTGGAGCAAAAGTGTTTCAAATTAATCTTAATAAGAAGGTGGTTTTGGTTTGTCATCTTCCCTCTCTGACAGAATACAGAAGCAGCAATAAATTTGATATACCATGAATAACAGAAACCTTTCTTTTCAGTTCCTTCATGTGACATTCCCACCAGCAGTACATGGCAATAAGTTTTAGCTGAAACTGTTGTTACTGCACGGCTAGTTAGAAACTCATGCTGTGCAAGTTCTTTGTCAGGATGAAATGAAGTATCAAGTAGAGGAGTCTGTCCTCATCCAGAACTAGTCAATGTCTTTGTTAATGACTTGTATGAAAGAATAATATGGGTTCTATGTTTTCGGACAATCAGAAGGTGGAATGGTCTTCAAGCACTCTCGGAAAATATAATTAGGATTGAAAATGATCTTGACAGATTGGAGCAGTGGCCTGAAGTAGAGAGTTCAGTAATGACGGAGAAAACATGACACTGTGGAACTTATGGAGAGAAAAAAAAAAGTGGGAATAGTACTCAGTCATAAGCTTAAACATGAGTCAGCAATATCATAGCGCACTGACAGTCTCGTGTAGTGGTGTACAGACAAGAATGGCATAGATTTGTAACAATCAAAGAGATCCTTACAATCTATTTGCTACTACTACAGCCTTAAGAGGAAAATTATATCCAGTTTTCAGCAGCAAACATTACAACAGAGGGGCATTTCCTTTCACTAACAGAGAACTGAGCCAAGCAACAGAGGTTTAGAAAATGTGACCCAAGATAGACTGACTTTTTCATTCAGAGAAGAGGAAACTGCAACACATACATTAAAACGTGTCAGAGATGGAGGGGAAAAAGGAATTTAGCAAACTGCTTTTCATCCCATATGGATATATCAATTTCAAGGGTTGGTTTGGGGGTTCCTGAGCTCTGGAATATAAACACAAAGGTGGAAAATGGGACGATGAGTTAAAGAGTTTAGAGCTCCTGCATAGGTGAAAGGAAAATCTGTCTGAGAAGATAGCTGAACATGGGAATGGTTTTCCTGAGGCAGTTTGGGTCTCTTCATCACTGGAGGTTTTGAAGAATAACTATACAGCAGTTCTTGAAATTATTTAGGCCTTTCCTAGCCTCTTTTTAGACCTGGTTGGATTCAATATGCTTTATGTAATTTAAAGGCCACGTTTAATTTTGGCTGTTGATACCAGCTGCAATTGCTGAACAGTTTGAGAGTCTTCCTTGCTGCTTTCTGTCAGTCTCAAACCCACAGAGCCTCTTCTCTGCTTCTGTCTTCTCTGGCTTAATTTCTGGTCCCTTTACACTTCTCTCCACTTTATGAATAAAAGAAATGAAGAAGGAAAAAATATTGAAGGAATCAGTGTGTATTTTGTTCTATTCCTTCAATATTTTGTCATAAATGGAATGAAAGATGGAGGGAGAAAGGGCTTTTCTTTCTAATAATCTAACCATAATCTTACTTTTCTTTTTAGCATACCCCTGGTCTCCGGTGATCGCGTAGTCCCTATGTTCATGTTATTGCTCCAGCAGCTTGATTCTGGGATATTGCGGTCTCCTACAGCATTGCTAACAGTTTGCACAGCAAGAGTATTGCATAGTAGTATTGCAACCTGATAATGCTGTGGAAATTCTTTAGAGGGATTGGTGCAAGACAATGCTTTTATGTATATTATTGGTGGAGTTTTAGTAGGTATCTTTTATGTTGACTCACCTGCTTTCATAACTGCTTTTTATATTGACTGATATCACTACTGAGGCAAGTGTATAGCTGGTCTTGGAATGCAAGCAGTTTTCAAAAGACCAAATTTTGACAGAATTGTACACAAATAATTGGTGTTTTGTTTTTCCCTTCCTTCCCCCCACTTTTAGCTGGCTGTGAGGTGGTTGGAACACAACTGCCGCTACCAGTACATGGATGAACTTCTCCAGTATGTCCGCTTTGGCCTTATGGATGTGGATACACTGCATACTGTGGCTCTTTCTCATCCTCTTGTCCAAGCTAGTGAAACTGCGACAGCACTTATTAATGAGGCCTTGGCTTACCACCAGAGCATCTATGCACAGCCAGTTTGGCAAACCAGAAGGACAAAACCTCGCTTCCAGTCAGACACTCTTTACATTATTGGTGGGAAGAAACGTGAAATCTGTAAAGTGAAGGAATTGCGATACTTCAATCCAGTAGATCAAGAGAACGTTCATATCGCAGGGATTGCAAACTGGAGCGAGCTGGCACCTATGCCTGTAGGGAGAAGCCACCACTGTGTTGCCGTCATGGGAGACTTTCTTTTTGTAGCTGGTGGAGAGGCAGAGCACTCCACCGGGCGCACCTGTGCAGTGAGAACTGCCTGTCGATATGACCCCCGCACTAACTCTTGGGCTGAGATAGCTCCAATGAAGAACTGTCGGGAACACTTTGTGCTGGGAGCAGTGGACGAGTACCTCTATGCAGTAGGGGGCAGAAATGAATTGCGTCAAGTGTTACCTACAGTGGAACGTTATTGCCCCAAGAAGAACAAGTGGACCTTTGTACAGTCCTTTGATCGATCGCTCTCATGCCACGCAGGATATGTGGTGGATGGTCTTCTTTGGATATCAGGTAGAAAACGTTTCACACAGTTTGAGGTACTAACAAAATACCAGAATACTGTCTTGAATGAAACTAATAAATCTTCTTTGGTTTATAGGTCAGGATAACTTTTGTCTTAGGAGATGGGTGTTTCAAAGATGCACTCTGATAGATGCACTAGAAGCATCTATCAGAGTGTGGTCCTTGCTCCAGTACATGAAAAAAGCAATTTTTTTAATTTCTTAATTTCATTTTTTTTTCTGAAATAAACCCAAACAAACAAGGAAGTATTTGATAGAGATTTTTTAAGCTAAATGTGAGACTGGTTGAAGATTACTTTTAATATTTCTAGATATCCTAGGAAAGGGAAAATTATGCTGAGGATTAATTAATGTACTTAGTTACGTAAGTGAAGTGCATGTCTGCCTGTGTGTTTAAATACTATCTGCATTTATATAATGAAGCAGTATGATACTGTGTTCAAGGATATGCCTCTAATACAGCTGTAGAATCAGGGGAAGAGGTAAGTGGAAGCCTGTTTAGGTGAACTCTTTAAAACTGGGCAAAACAATAAAAAATGTTATCAATACTGTTCCATTTATACTTGAAAATGCTACTGCCGTAACTTCTGTTGTAAAGTCACAGTAAGGAGCAATGTTTTGGCAGTGGAATAAGACAGACGGGGCTTTTTGGTTGTATTTTGTATAGTTTTTGAGAAAATGCTTAGCAGTTTTGAGTTGCTAGATTCTAAGAGGTTATGAATTACGAGAGCATACTATGCAATACTTCAGTAGGGTATTGATCTGAATTATGTACTCACAGATTGAAAACTGGGTTCTGTGTATTGAATAGAGTTATTTTATAAATAACAGTAGAGAGAGACGCAATAACTGTAGCTAGCTTTCTATTATTAATTAATTGCTTAGGGCCAGAATGTAGCTGACTGTACGTTTATATTCAGGGGCAGGGGAATAGTACAGAGAGATGTTTTATTGTTCCAAAAATATCAGTAGTCACTGCTGAAAAAATCCAGTGTTCATCATCAAATAGAAGATGTTAGCATAAGAATAATCAGTGTTGCAGGAGGGAACCTAATTTTGAAGTATGTGGCCTAAAATTAAGTAATTAAAAAATTAGTCTGAGTTAGGGATGTTTCTGAGCTGTATCCCTGCTGCTTTTTCTGGGAAATACAGGTCATCAGCAAGAGCTCTCAAAGTCAGTCTGCTACTACCAGCTGGCAAGGTAACCATGAAAATGTGCTCAGTTTTTTAGTAAGTGAATAAATTAAATAGTGATAATATAAGCTTCTAGCCCTTGTATTTGTGGAGAGAGTCATCAAAATTCACACACAGACCATTTACTTACTCTATCGCCAAAGCATCAGTGTCTCTGCTACAGCCCCTTGTCTTCTAAAGGCTTTGCTAATCAAAAGCTGACTAGACTGAAGGGGCTTCTATTATTATTATTATTGGGATTCATTGTCGGCTTTACTTTGCTGCTCCTTTGGGACAACTACAAGAAGGAATCAAAAATAATAGAGCATAAAATCATGGCAAAGGCCGCAGGGAAGGGAAGTGTGTTCAAATGCTCTAAGCACGCGCTGGTGTTTCAGGTGACAGAGGGCCTCCTAAGCTGCCAGCACCCCTTTGGGGTTTTTAACCTGCCAGAATCTTGGAGGGAGCCTTCCACACTCTGGAACTAGTCAGACCCTCTGGTCAGCACAAGCAGTGTCAGCTCTTGAGTTTTCTGAGCTCCATATATTGTGGAACATGTTTTTATATATGTGTCATTATTTTTTCTCATCTTTTTTTTTTTTTTTAATTTTTTTTCACAGCCCACATTTTATTTTCTTATTTTAAAAAGTAGATTCATTAAAATAACTTCTCTGTATTGACAGTACAGCATTGGGCAGATGGTTTTGAAATTTTATAGAGATATGAATCTTACAGGCCCCAGCTAACATCTGACACTGTGACCCGTTTCACAAACGGAATGCATGCCACATGCTTGAAAAGTGAAGTATTTGAGTGAAAAAGAAACAAAATGCACCAAACCCTTTGGAGTTCAACATTGCTAACAATCATTCCCCACAAAACCAGGGAAATATTTTCCATAAGAGTAAGGACTTGAACTATGCCCATTTCCCTGCATCCTCCCTGGTGCGCACATGGAAATCTGAGGACCAACTTTTCTATACGTGTTAACCTTCCTCCTCCCATATAGATGTAGTGCCTGTGGGGACAGAGGGGCCGGAAACCTCTGCCAGGCAGTTCAGCTCTGGGCCATTCCTGCACCTGCAGTTGGGGATAACGAGGCTTCCCCTCTGCCTCAAGTGCTCAAGAGATTAGCACATGAAAAATCTTCTCTAAAGCAAAGTATTATGCTGTTGTTTTGCAGAGGTCCGAGTTGCCTGACCTTAAGCTAAAATTCACATCTTGACATGCACATGGAAACTCAACTTGGGGGGTATGCGAGGGGGGGGAGTGTATACAAGCCAACCCCATACAATTGCTTCATATGTAACAGCTTTTTTTTTCAAAATTCAAGATTCTTTTTTTATAATTATTTTTTCCCTAATAGTGGAGATTTTGACCAAAGAAATGATGGAGGTGACATATCTTGGAGAATTATTCTGAGGTTGCAAGTGGTTTGGGGGAGAAGGTATTACCTTACTATCAGTATGCTGTTTGTTGTGAGGAGAAGAAAATTTTTTCTCAATAAATGCCTATAAAATTGTTTTATGAAAAATAGATCTGGAATAAATAGGAATCTACGGAGTCTAACCACATCAAGTTTTGCAGTGCAGGTGGCACAGAAATAACCATGAACAGAAGTTTAACAAGTACATAAAAATTGCCTCAGTGACCAGGTCTTAATCTGTATATGGAGCAGAGTTTCATCATCATCATCATTATTATTATTATATTTGATTAAAGATAATGGATCTCACACCTTTCAAGCATGTGCATTGTAAGTTTGATGCCATTGATTCTTGTTAGATTGAATGTAAACATCACGTTTTAATGACTTTTTCAAAACAAACCCAACCCGCAAGCACACTAGGGTTTGTGCCCCTCTTGTATGCAGCTGGATTGCATCCGAGGTGGAACGGTGTTAATTAGAGCTGCTGGAGGTGGCTGCCACCGGACTCCTTAGCGTGGGAGAATATGCTCCAGCTCAGCTGTCCTCGCTGCACCTGGGCTGGCTGAAGTAAAAGACTTGCATGTTGAGGAAGGATTATCTTGTGTTTAACACACAGACACGTAAGAGAGGAGAGATTTCTATTTTAAAAATAGCAGGGTACCTTGGGGCGCATGTCATGAGTTTCTATATATTCCCTGGATTTGCTGGAATGAAATACACGTGGGAGCTCTTTGCCAACATGTAGTTTTACACGTCTCCCAGCAAACTCGGATTCGTGCGTGCAACCTAGCACTTGGGGACTTTAGAGAGAGTTGTGAGATTTTCTGGGGGATTTGGATTGGATTAGATTTCTCAAGTCATATGGGGTCTGACTAGGACATGTTATAAATATGGATTATAAATTTTTGATTGGGAAAATGGTGTTGAATCTACTGCCTCCCACCCTTCTCTTTTTTGGAGGTGCCTTTATTGAAGGTGCTTTTCAGTGCAGTTTGTGGACTGTTTAGGGGACTGTAACAAACCAAAATATCTCCCGTGTGTGGGAAAGGGCTGGACAAGGTGGGTCTTGGACTCCTCCAGGACCTCTCTGTGTAGAGGGGCACTGTTGCATGAGTTGGGAATGTATGGGTTTTGGAGGGCTTAAAAGCAGGGCTTACAACCTGTAAGGGAGTGGGCAACAGTGACTGCGGCAGTGTAAAAACATTGTAAGCCCACAGGTTGGATGCTGGGCTTCCTCTGAGTGTGTTCTTGAAGCTGTAAGTGCAAGAAAGACACAGGCTTGTCCTGAGAGCGCTTCTTGCCTTCTCTCCTGGAAGCTCTAGTCCTCAAAGCAAGCTGCTCATCTCAAAGCGGTGCAATCATCGCTCTCAGTTCATAAAACCCAGCGAGCGCTGACCAAACTGTAAATCATCTGTCGTTTACCCAGCCAGGCTTTTTTTTTTCTTTTTCCTTAACTTAATACCACATTAGCTGCTATTGCTTAACATCAAATTTAATAGCATGGTTTGTGTTTTTAAATACTTCTTATCAAGTCTAGTTGTGATGCCTCCTTGCCTTTCTCCTCCTTTCCTCATAGAAAGAACTGCAGAGAAGTTTTTTTCTGAGAAAGTGTGTATTATTTTTAGTACCATTTAAACTTTTTTTCCCTTTTCCTATGTTTTTTAAGAGACATATTGCTCTTCTTTTGCCCTTTCCCAGCTGCCTGAAGTATTTAAAAAAAAATAGTTCAAGAGGACATTGCAGACTTGTTAAATTTGAATTTTGGCAGAAAATTTTAAACTTTTGCTATAGCACTTCAAAGTTAGGAGGAACTTGAGTTTGAAAATTGATGCAGATATAAGATGGCATATTTAATGACAGATGTATCTATAGAAACCTGTTAAGATGCAGATTATCCCCCTGGGGAGGGGAGATCAAAACTGCCAATCTATAAAATATACTTGTTAGGGGAAGGCATGGAATCTATCTCTGTGAGCACTTTGATTGCAGGGGACAGTGTAGCAGCATGTGGCATCATAACCTAAGAGCAGACAAATCAGCTTGATGACTTTCAAAGCCAAGAATACTGCTGGAGGCAAGGGTACTCCAGTCTAGAAGAAATTAAAACATATAGAGACTGTTATTAATTCCAGATCTATTTTTGTGTAGTCAAATCTGTATGCAAATCCTTAGCATCTCATTTTGGCAGATTAATCTAAAAGTGGTATGTGAAAGGAATGTAATGATAAAACACCACAGATGAGCAATATTGCAGGGGAAAAAATGTAAGCTGTGTACTTGATATGAGGGGCTCTTTGTGAAGAGAGGCAAATAATTTTGCTTATTTGATTATTTCATTATTTTATGAGAAAGCAACCCCCTTCTTTCTCTTCTTCCTCCACATCTTTCCCCCCAAATTAAGGTGTCCTTTCTGAATGGAAGTATGTGACCCAGCGTTGTGTTTCCAATGCACCTCCTGTAGTTTAACATTCCAGAGGTAATCATCCAAATAACTATGATTTTTATTTTTCAAAATACTAATCTGACATGTCATTTTTAAACATTATTCTAGGAGTGAAAATAACTACGTAAAAGAAAATCAAATTACAAAACAGATATTAGAAAAGATTGTTTTGTGCGTGTGGCTGATGGCCACTAGCACTGTGAAGGCTGCACAACAGCGTAGAGACAAATAACAGATTAGGAGATTAGATACGGGAACAGTCATTGCTTTCCAAGGCGTGTTCTTGTGCGCGTACTTCACACGCGCTGCGATGGGCAGTGTGTGGCATAGCGTGATGGAAACAGTTTGGAAAGACTACATTTCGTTTCGGCTCTCTTGTAGCCTGTAAGCATCTGTGAGCTGGGAGCTTGTGCTGCCGCCCGTGTGTAGGGGCCCCAGTACAGGCTGGTGCTTGCGGAGATGCACCCGACCAACCAGTGTTACTCCTCCCTGCTCCTGCGGTTGAAGACAAGATGCTTGAATAGACTTGTCCGTAATTTCTGCTATCCGTTGGTCAGATTCTTGGCCTTACTCAAGTTATTTGAAGTGATCAGAGGGTACATCTATGTCAGCAAGTAGTTCAGCCCAGTTGGAGCAGATCAGCAGACAAAAACTTGGTGCCCAGTTCTCTATGTCTACTCCATGTACAGTTCACATGTTTTGCTTTGGACTAGATTTATTCTGATCCTCTGGACCAAACATTCCTAGCACTCAGCTGATACAAAACCATCTGAAAGACCAGTTATTATTTCACACCCTTATGCCTCTGTTATGAATTGGAGCACAGCTGGTGCACATCTGGAGCAGAGATTCTGGTTTAACTTGAATGCACACCAGTACCACCCTACAGCCTGAAATAACATGAGAGAGGTAGGGGAGTTGCTTCAAAGCCACAGTATGGCTCTGAACCACAATGCTGTGCCAGGTGCAGCTGAAGGCTGGCAGAATGAGGATTCCTCAGCATGGAGGCTGGTCAGGGATAAAAGGAAAAAAAACCAACAATGGCCTTAGTATGACTGAGCCATAGTGCATCCGGCAGGCACGAAAGCAGCTCTCCCACTGCTCTGTCTGAAACAGGGGATGTCCTCGCAAAAAGCGAAGAATAAACAAATGTAATGACAGATTAAATTCCTTCCTGTCATTGCTGTGGATTTTGTCCGGCATTGGCACATGCTGTTAAAACTGTAGTAGAAGAAGTTTATCTGTCAATATGAGTTTCTCTGGTGTGTGGCCACTGGCATGCCCTAGTTAAGTCCAGACCTTCTGGTAAGAAGAAAGGTGAGGTGCAGTTGGCAGGCGTATTTCTGGTCCCACCTTCCCATGGGCCCAGGGTGGTAACAGAGGGAGACTGGGACCTGTGGCAGTGCTGCTGTGGCATCACGTCCCTCAGAGTCTTGAGCACACTCAAGAACATGTTTATGCTGGTAAGATTACAGACTTGAGACTGAAGAATTTTTCCACCAATTTACTGAGTGAGATTTGCCATTTAAAACCAATAGAGTAGAGGACGATCGGAGATTAAACATATACTATGTTGAGGTAAATAGCTGGTTTGCAGCATCTGCTTGAGTTATACCTTGCTTTCCAAACATTATGGAAAGGTACGTGTAGTAGTGGTGTTCCTGGTCACTATGGAGGAACCTCCCGACAACCAGGAGATGTTCTCTCTGTAATGCTGACTAAATAGAGAATTTCCTTCAAATATATAGGCGAGTGCAGTTGCACAGGGTTGTGCTATGCTTTCCAGCAGGCAGCGGTGTCCCATGTCACGCTCCTGGATAGGCAGAGCTCCTCTCCGACCTCCTCCTCCTCTCTGGTGCAAGCCAACCTCCTCCTCATTTAAACAGCATCACATGCCGCATGCTCCTTGGAACAGGGCCGGGTTTTATCTTCGTGTCTTGACGACGGCTGAATGCGGAGTCATTTATGAACAGATCAATTTTTATCTCATTTTTAGCCCATAGAATTAGCTTTAGAAAGGAAGTGTGTGGGTGTGGGTGTTTGTTGTTGCTGGTTTATGTTTCTAGATGTTTGACAAATGTGCTACTTATTACCTTTTAAGCAGATTAAAAAGGGCAGTGGAATGTAAGCGTAAGTGGTGGTATGCAATATAATTATGCCAGCAAATGAACCCTAGAATTGGTTGTTTTGCTGTACCTGATCTTGGTCCTGGTTTTGCTCATATGAAAAAATGTAACCTGTATAAACTCTTTCATAGGAGGAGTAACAAATACTGCACAGTATCAAAACAGGCTCATGGTCTATGATCCCAAGCAGGTGGGTGTCTGTGTCGTATGTGTTTTTCTTATATGTTTTACTTCAAACAGGTCTCTTAGCAAATACATACAATATTTTTTAATATTTTTTTTTAAGGCTAAAAACACTGACCATTTGAATTAGTGGTGTTTTAAATTCACTTTGTACTGATGTGTGAGTTTAACAGAGTAATGGAGACCCTGACTTATTATATATTTTTTTAAGCCTGTAGGTGTTAAAAACATCTAGATTAAATACAGAAATGTGCTTTAAATCCCCTGTATTTACCAGTATTTATTTTGCTGGTTCATTTTTTTTGTAATCCAGCAGCCCAGGGCAATGAATACTCAAAGTCAGTGTCACAAAACTGCTCCTGTCATTGGCATTTCTGCTTTGAATTGCATATACAGACTTTTTGTTTTCTGCATACTTTCAGAACTATACTACCTGGCCATGACTTATTCTGCTGACTGCAAGGGTGCCTATCATTTCATTACCCAAGCACCTAAAATATCTTTTAGGGATTATTTCATACATTATGTATGTGTTTTGATTAGGTTAGCATGGCTCAGTAACCATTTCAGAGGGTTAGGGCATGGTTATGCCCTCTTGCTTGTATTAGGAATTAAAAGTCCTAAGCTTGCAATCAGAGTTGCATAGCCTGATTTATAGCCACGTGGAAGAGTATTGACTTTTCTGATTGTAGGATAGGGGCTTTGATTGCTGTATTTGGAATCAAATTGTGCCAGGAGATACTTCTGTGTGGTTCCCACTTTTTAAAGCATAGCACATACGGGTCCTGAAGCGGAAAGCAAGCAATGATGCCCCTGCCTCTTTCTTTTTGAGGTGCAATTTTATGCATCGATTGCACAAATGCTGATTTTTTTTTTTGTCCTAAATCCAAGTAGTAATTACAGGCAGCAATCTTACTTTGCTTATGAGGGGGACACTTTTCTTTAGATACTGTCTCTCTACTGTGTATCTTTTGCTTTGAGTCTTTACCTGCTGACATGAAAGTTGCACCCCAAAATGCCAGTGGCAGGGCTGCTTCAGCGTGCTGTGGCAACGGTGAGAAACCCGGTCTGGCACGTAAAGAGTTACAGACGAAGTGTGCGCTCGCATTCTTCAAATGAGGTCCACTTCGTGTTTGTACACACAAGCTCTTTTTAAAAATTCTGCTGGCATATTGTTTACGGTGGGTACTGGAAACCATCACATCTGCTTGCATCTCGCACAGAATCTCAATAACTCTATCATTCAGCACCAGCGCTTGCTTCTGCGCGAGGCCTTTGTGGCGAGTCGATAATGCCTGCCATCTGCCACAGAGCACACAGCTACCTGCCAACAAGCCGGCTGGGGTGACCTCTGCTTCCCCACCACTGATTAGTATTCACACGCCGCCTTATTAGAAATGACCCCACCAGGCCCCTCTGTTTCTTTGCCTTTGCAGTGCTTTGCGGCTCACCTGGCAGGCACTGCAGTGGAGGAAGCTAAAGATATAATCAGGGGATGCAGGCAGGCTTTGCAAAGCAGATGGTGTCTATAGTCTGGTGTTAAGAGACTGGACTACTAATGCAAACATTAATGCCTAATATTCAACTATTACACATTGAAATGTATAGCTATATAGTGTGGAGGTGAAAAGTCAGAAGTATTAGAGGCTCTTGAGTTACCGCAAGCGGTAGCACATGTAACACACAGAATTTCCTCACAGATTTTAACTTCCTCCACTTAAATAAATTAATCTCATCCATTGCCAGGTTGTTAGATTTGGTGAGCGTAGCAGGAGCAAGTGTTTTCTTACGTTTAAAATACTATGCTTGAATTCCTCTTCTTCCGTGTCCTCTTGCCCCTCCCCTGAACAGGTAGAATTCTCGAAATTGTTAACCAGGAAGAAAAATATGCAAAAGGACGTGACTTTGTAAGGGCCCGCAAATACAGGGTTAGCGTTAAACCAAATACGTGAATCATTTGAGGAGATTCTTTAGGAAATTATTTTTCCCTTTTGCTTCATTCCCCAAGGATAAGATCAAATAAGCTTCTGAAGAACGAAAGGTAGAAGAATCTCTCTTCTCTCATAAGAGCTAGTTGGTACAGATAATTTTAGCACTGTATACAAAGGAGACATCTAATAGTCTTGCTTAAGGAGGATTTGCTGCTGAATTATAAAGAAGAAACAAGCTTTGAAACCTGATGAGCTAGCTAAACAGAAAAAAAATATAGACCAAGAAATACTATTAAATTAATGAATTTAAATGTGAGAACTTTCAACACGTGTTGAAAGTCCAGTATGTCTAGTCAGTGTTATAACCAACATGTATGGTTAACGTATAAACAACACAAGTATATGCACTGATTTCTGGCCAAGGGTAAGAAGAACACCTCTAACATGCTGCTATTATTGTACTACTAATGTAGGTGCACCTTTGAGCAGTGCTGAGACAAGTTCTCTTTTCCTTTCCAGAATAAGTGGCTAAGCCGTAGCCCGATGTTGCAGAGGAGAGTGTATCACTCCATGGCTGCTGTCCAAAGGAAACTTTACGTGTTAGGTGGGAACGATCTGGACTACAACAACGATCGGATCCTGGTTCGGCACATAGACTCCTACAGCATAGATGCTGACCAATGGACGCGTTGCAGCTTCAACATGTTGACAGGTGAGTATTGTACACCAAAAGAGGAAACTCGCTACTATTAGAATAAAACATCAATTCTTTTCCCTTTAGATGCCTTTAGTGTGTGGAACTCTGCGACTTTGCCTCAATTGCCTCTGATTTAGGGGCCATGTTGGCCAATAAGACACTTTTGTTTACTGTTCTGGCATTCAGTGTTCTACAAAACATTTGTCTTGGGACATTGTAGGATAAATTTTTAAGGCGGCGCACAAAAATGTAATTTAATTAAGCAAACAAAAATTCTTGGTTGTAGTATTACCAGTACTTATTTTTGATTCTTCAAAAGCATGCCTGCACTGATAGATTTAGCTCCCTGTTTGCATGTTCAGCAGGCAGATCCATCTCTACCATGATATCGTTTTGTAGTGTTTCCTGCTGGCATTAGAGAGCATTGAACTCTATTAACCATCACTTATTCCTAAGCAATATCTTCTTAATAAATCACCTGAAAGGAGGTGTCTTTGTTGGAATTCTGTCAAGTCAGGGATGACTTGAGTGTCTTGGTTAGCTATGGATCTGTAAAGTTCCTCTTGATCATCATTAGGAGGAACTGTTGCAGTAGCAATTTACAAAGCACTGCAACTCACTGTCCCTGCCACCCAGTCCACTGAATTTCACTGTCAGTGAATACAATTCCCAAATGTACTAACTCCTCGAATCCCTGGGAGAGACAGGCATGTGACACGTTCTCAGAGTAGCACTACCAGCAGCTTTGCAGAAGAGGATGCATTTCCAGGACAGCATTAATGTTGGGGCCATTCTCCTGTGCAGCAGATTTGGAGGTCAATTAGTAACAGTACTGGATGCCAAAAAGTTTCAGCGCAAACTGCTATAGGAGCCCTAGAACTGAGCCTGCCTCGCTTTTCATCCTCTTCAATTTGGCATTGCACTGATTTCTGAGATCTACCACTGAAAAGGATATAAAGGATGTAGGAGCTTAGCTAGAAGCTCGGGATAGCTAGAAACACCATGTCAGAGAAATGACCGTCTGACAAATAAGACAGTCACCTTATGTCATTTTCTTCCTGGTAGGTTTAAAAGCTGCTCTAGTGACAATTTTGTTCTTTAAGATATTGCACTGGGTTTCTTAATCTCTGGGATCTGGAGAAGGGTTGCTTGGTTTCTGAGTCAGGTTGTGGGAGTACTTTGTGGACACTGAGGAGAGAGCCATGGATTAAAAAGGTGTTACGCATTGTCAAACAGAACTAGTTTTTCGTATCCCTTTTGCTCTCCTTTTAATTATTTTATTATCTGGAGGAATTGGCATCCTTTGAGAAGGACACCATCTGATTTGCAACTGTAGAAGCACTGGCACTGCAGGCACCCTCATTCTGGAGCTGACCCCCTACCACTAAATGCTGTGAGATAGTAGTCTCTCCTTAGATACGACCTGGTGGGTTGTTTCCACAACCTGCACCTTGAGAAGCCATCTCAGCCTTTCTTTGCGTCTCTGCAACTGGCGGTAAATGTGCCTGTTGCACTGTGTAGTGCAGAATTTTTTTTTTTAAAGCTGTATTTATCCTTCAAAACTTCCAAACTTGTTCAGGAGACTGTTGCTATGGGAATGAGCTTGCACAGCGGCTTCTGCAGTTTTCACCATACTCGTACCTGGAGGACCAGGGGGGTGAACAGGTGTGGGCAGAACGTGAGGGGTGTTCAGCTCTCGGCCTGCGTGTCTGTTTGGATGTGTATGTGCGAGAGTAGCTGAGAGGCAGGCGGTGAGCTTGCCTGTCACCTATGAAATACGCACGTGGAAAAACCTGTGCCATGGAGGAGACAGCAGATGGTCCCCTGCATGGCCTCAGTGTATTGCTCATCCAGGGTATCTGGCAGTATACGGGCAGTACCGTACGGGGCACCCACAGAGAGCAAAGAACAGCCCTCGCACTCCGCCTTCACTGTTGCACGTTGTGAATTCTGAAACAGTGAAGTTACTGCCAAGTGCATTTGCATCGCATTACAGAACTCCAGCATTCGGTGTTAAAAGGGTTAATTAAACCTTGAAACTGGTTTCTGTTTCCTTTTTTGCTTTAGGTCAAAATGAGTCTGGAGTTGCCGTCCACAATGGTAGAATATATTTAGTTGGCGGCTATTCGATTTGGACAAATGAGCCTTTGGCATGTATCCAGGTGAGTGGTGCAGGTTTCTTTTAAAGTCTTTTCCAATAATTTGCAAGGATACGTTTTGCACAGAGGTTATTCAAAAAGGAAAATGCATGTGAAGTGGAGAGATTAAGGATGTTTCTTACGAAGCCACTGAACCTGCATAAACACAGAGGAAATACTGTGGATATTAAAAACATTTCCAGACAAGCTATTAGATCCAATTATTCTAAGATATTCTAGTAAAACAGGCTTGAGGAGTCTCTCCTTTGGCAACGTTTGAGTAAAATAGTAAGTATATATTCTCAGGTTACACAATGAAGTTCAAAAGTAAAAGAGTTGCAGAAATGGATGATGTGGCACGGGCTAACAATTTTTCAGCCCATCTTGTGATTTATTTTTTTTTCTTTTTCTCTCCAAGTTGTCTTTCTGAAGAGTAGCCAGAGTTAACGAGTTGTTCTTTCACAAAGTTCAGTCAGCCTGCAACCTGCCCTAGCGCTTACTGCTTCAAAGCTTGAGTGGAAGTTTTTTGATCCCTGCTGTAGGCAATAGGTTGTCCAAAAAAACTCTTCTGCTCTCTCATCTCGTATAAGAGCAGCTTGCCTGCAGATCCACGGCTTTCAGATATTCCCGTACAGAACCTGGGAATTCTTATCTTTCTGCATTTTTCTGAGTGAAGCAAATCTGCATCACAGCCATTGCTTTGTGACCAGCTGGGCAGTTACAGACAGAAAACTCCTGTTTCCATCTCAGTTTCTGCGCTTTTGCTGATAAACAACATTTTCATTAGCTTCCAACTAAGCATCTTAGTATTTAACCTCCCAACTGTCCCATAAGGCTAGAAGTTAGACTTAGCATAAGAAGAAAATGTATTACATGTCGAGCTGCTGGTCTTTACAATGAACACTTACTGCATGAGTTTCTAAAGAATAGCTCGTACAAGACAAGGAGTTAAACCCATGTTCTGGTCATAGTATAATTGTGTTTTACTAAATTGTTGGATACTGTATCTAACAATTGTTATTGGAAAAATTCATTCAAACTGGCTTGGATAACACTAGGTGACATACAGTGCTTCAGATGGAGTAATAGCACAGTATCAAGGCAGTGACTATGCTCTACCAACATGCTTGTACCTTTCAGTATTGCACCTGGGTTTAAACAAGTGAAAATGATCCTGGGATCTTGCTTGCTTAAATGGACGTTAGTCCGCATCCCCAAACAGGTCGTGAACCGGCAGCCTGCCTGAGACAGTCCCTACATCGAAGGGAAAAGAATTGTAAGTGCTTTGGCAGAGCTGTGTGTGCTGCCCCTTCTCAGTTGTTGGCAGTGTGCCTGGCTTTAACCAGTAAAACCAGCCTGTTTATCTTCAAATTCAGCAAATTTGGGGTTGCTTTCTCTTTTGGAAGAAAAAAAAAAAATCCCCTTTTTCTGTATATCTTCAAGTCATTCATTTATTTGGCCTTTCTAACTTGGATAGAGCTCCCTATATACTAAGCTGACGAATGACTCGTACTTTGTGGTAACAGTAGCCCTCCTGTGCAGAGTACCGTACTTGTACAGTTGCACGTTCTGCTGCCAGAGAGCAGGATCCAATGTCACTGTCTGCTGCTGAGTGCCTGAGCTAGCGTAAGATTTGGGTGATGAGGACAGCAATAGGTCACCAAATCCATAAATACAATCTAAAAATGATCTGAAACTACCCTTCTATTGGGATTAATAATACATATATGCAGTGTGTGCCAGCAAATTTGTTTCAGCTTTCTTCCGTGACCCCTGAAATACTTTGTACGCTTTGACCTGCAGGTGCTGGATGTTAGCAAGGAAGGGAAGGAAGAGGTATTCTATGGGCCTACGCTCCCCTTCGCTTCCAATGGAATAGCAGCATGCTTTCTTCCAGCTCCTTATTTCACGTGCCCCAACCTTCAGACTCTGCAAGTGCCTCACCACAGGATTGGCACAATGTGAGACAAGGAACATGCACTTCGTAAAATCAGAAGTGGAGGGGGGAAAAAAATCAAACCCTGTGTATAGAAGGGTTTCTCTGGATGGGTGAAAAGATCAATCTGCACGGGCTGCTGCTTTACCTTCACACATTTGTCTTAAAGCCGAATCATGGTAGGCGGGAAGGAAGCTACAAAAACTGTCTGCAGTTTCTCTCCTCTGCCTCAGATGTAGAAACATATACATGACAGCGTTTGGCGTTTCTGCTGGTGACTACTCGCTACCTGTCTCTACTTCATCTCCTTATGCAAGTTCGTAAAGCATTGTGAATGCTCTCAGCTCCTCATGGGCTGCTGCTCTTTGGAGTCTGCACGTTCCGTTGTTCACCAATGGCACTTTCAAAGCTGATAAAGCTGTGTTTATGTTGACAAAGATGATATAATACTATGGTAATTATGCAACTTACTCAATACCTTTGGCAAAAAAGAGTAACAAATGTGTTGACTTCCAATTCCAAACTCACATCGTTTACAGGTTCTCATTTAATAATACTTCATTTGAAATTTAAATACTGCAAAGCAGATTAAAACAAAAATAAAAAACAAACAAGCCCTATAGCATATGAGGAACAGATAAAAATTGTCTTGGCTGAAAGACAAAGCCACCAAAGCCTCACGATTAAACCCAAGTCTGAACTGAACGTGTTTGTCTGAGAATCTACCGATTATTTGGGATGTCATTTACCAAGGTCTACTACCAAATAAATGTTACCTTCTGTCATATGATCAATTCCTCCTGACAGCTGCAGTCTTTTAATGGTGGAGATCAGCCTCTTTACTGTATAATTAAAATGTGCCATTTACTTAATATTTTTAATATTCAGTTTGCAAAGGGTCACCACATTTACAATTATCAAGGAACAGTCTCATTTTGTCCAACATATGGTCCCACAAATCACTGGTCTCCAGAGGCTAAACAGGTGTAGAACAATGTCAATATTTATTTATTTATTCTTTCAGTTTATATAGTGTGTCTCCATTCTGTACTCCAGGCATATGCCCGGTCACAATAAATACTCTAACCTGTTCCATTTTGGCTTTGCTTGGCTACTGCAGCCACTGTCTCTTATTTCCATCTTTTACTTCCCTATCTAACAACAACTTCAATGTTTGTAAATACTAACCAAGCATGTAATTAAATCTTTCTCCATTTATGATTTACGGGTACTCTGCACTTCTGCGCTTTACCTATGGATCTGTTCCCTGCCAGCGTGCTCTCTGAGCAGACCTATGGAATTCCTGCTGACACTCACGCAAATGCCACGTGCAGCACGTGCGGCAGCAATAGCCTGCGCTTGCTGCTCTCCAGCAACAGGTTTGACTTTGTCCGCTGAGCCGTGTTTTCAAATCAAACGCATCTGCTGAGGGTCTGGTTAGCAATATAGGTGAATGAACTTCATCAGCATTTCGATCTCCAGCTGGGCAGTGGACTCACAGAACATCACCTTTCCTTTTCCTCTAATTTTCAGGTTTGAGAGTTTTATGGGGGTTTTTTGCTGAGCTTTCTCACTCTTGTTGCAAAGAGCAGAGCTGCAGCTGCAGAGTCTTTGCCTGGCACGCTAACTTGAGTGCTAACAATGTCTCCCCCTGCACGAAAAGCAAGCCCGCAGGCAGGCAGTACTTTTGTCTAACTGCATGGGAGCTGTATAGGCTGTGCATCAGGATTTTTTTTTTTAATTCCTTTCATCTCCTGGAAATGAGCATGCAAGTGCCAGCTCTCCTGAGAGGCCATTTACACTCTAAAAATCTGACTGCTGCCCTGCGTGGGCTGCAGGGCCCAAGCCTGGTAAGTGTTTGAAGTTCTACTTTTGGGTGACTTGCAGGGACACAAACATTCCGTGTCTTGTTTTCAAGAGGAGGGTGGCTAAATAATCAAAGCCTTGGGGCTTTGAGCCTCATCCCGCAGATACCACACCAGGTGAGTGATCAGCTTTCGCTCCGGGTGCAGAACTGACATACGCTTGCTCTTTCCCGGGTGGCGGGAGAATTAATTTCTCAGCCTTTGTGAAGCCCTGGGCACTTCCAGACAATACTGCAAAGTACGTTATGTATGTCTCAACTTCCTTTTGAGGCTTTTATTCCTAGGCCTCATAGCTTACCACAGCTGTAGCTATGAAATCATTTCTGACCTGCTCCTTCTGGAGAGCGAGGGATTACGATGGATGTGACCGGCTATTGAGGGGCGGCAGCAAGCTGTGACAGAAGCCCAGGTTTGAGAAGCGGAGGGGGGCAGCTTCCTTATGCAAAGCAGCATGTGCCTCTTGGTTCACGGACTGAAAGGCAAGAAAGTTATTTATCATGTTTGTTCTGCCCTTTTGACGCTTTTACTGTTCCGGTGGTTATCACCAATTGTCTGTACTGGTGAATAGCAGTTTTAAACAGCTGTGCAATTGCATTAAATTAGTTAAGGGTACCACAGCCACAGAGCCTCAGGACAACACATATGCTCCTGTTAGTGTCAGGATTCTGCTCTGGCTCTTAATCATCAGGCTCCACCGATTACAGAGAAGTCTTTCACGGCAGCCTCTTAGCCCCTGAGTTTTTGTGCCATGCTTTCCTATCTGGGTCTTTTTGCTTTTATTGCAGGACCTACAGGACAGGTGGGGGTGCTTTGCTGCACCTGAAGTCAGACAATGCCACATAGTCATTGCCAGGTGAGCAAAACCCCGTGAGTTATTGCGAGGTAAGAAAAGAGAAGGGTGTGGATGCAAGAGCAGGCAGGGACCACACTGGTGCCAGCAGCGGCTCTGCCTTGGCTGAGGGCTCTCTGCTAGGGAGGAGCAGGGGCGGGAGAGCAAGGCTGCCTTCACAGTCGCACTGCAGGAGTAAAGAGTAATAGTTCATCCTTTATCATAGAATCACAGAATGGTTTGGGTTTGAAGGGACCTCAAAGACCATCTAGTTCCAACCCCCCCTGCTGCAGGCAGGGACACCCTGCACCAGGCCAGGTTGCCTAAAGCCCCATCCAACCTGGCCTTGAACACTTCCAGGGAGGGGGCATCCACAGCTTCTCTGGGCAACCTGTGTCAGTGCCTCACCACCCTCACAGTGAAGAATTTCCTCCTTCTATCTAATTTAAATCAACCCTCTTTTAGTTTAAACCCATGACCCCTTGTCCTATCAGTACATGCCCTTGTAACCAGTCCCTTTCCAGCTTTCTTGTAGGCCCTTCAGGTACTGGAAGGCTACTCTAAGGTCTCCCTGGACCCTTCTCTCCTCCAGGCTGAACAACCCCAGCTCTCTCAGCCTGTCTTCACGGGAGAGGTGCTCCAGCCCTCTGATCATCCTTTACCTAGCATACTCCACTTTTGAGTCCCAAGATACATTATCAGCTTTTCTTAGCTATAAATAATCAGCTGCTTTGTGCTTTTTATCCAAAAGAGACACAATTTCCAGAAGCAGCAGCACCAACGCCCTCTTCTGCCACTTTGGTCTCATACCCAAGCACTGACCAAAGAAATACTTCTATGTTATCAGTGGGTTGTGCAGCAAATCTGCTTATGATGTGCACTAGTGGTTTTGTAATCCTTGCATTTCTAGTTGTGGCTGATGATTTTCTTCTTAACTTCACAGCTTTCAGGGAAAGTACCCAACTCCCAGAATAGTTCAAACTTCTGCAACTCTTTTTCCTCTAAGTTTTGCCTTCCCTGGTTACCCTCCCCCAAAGCTGTACAGACATTTAGTACATCAGTTGCAGAATCATGGAGAAATAGATAATTGAATATTCACACATGCAGAAACAACACAGGCAGAATGTGGAACAATGTGGAAACAAGCGCAAAAAGAGGCGGCATCTGTTTATTGAAAATTAGAATGTAGAATACATTAAGAGGGCAAGGTTAAAACACTTCATCTGCAGGCAGAGTTTGTAGGGGAGGAAGACTTTGCAGGAAGTTTAGCACATACGACTATATAAAGGGCTTAGTTTTATTTTTGCAAAATGGGCTGCTTCGCCCCCACCCCCCAAGGACACATTTTAAAGAGGAAAAAAAGTGTCCACATAAAGATTGGTTTTCCCATAGAGATGATTATATATAGTTGTTTCACAGTAATGCCAGAATTAAAATGCTTAAAATGTTAACTCTTGCTGTGGGGAGATTAGCCCATGTTGCAATACTTAAAGTACTGAAGAACAGAGTAAGTATTTTCAGCAATACCCTCGACTCCTCATGTAATGAATGTTGTACTCATTTTTCCACCAGTGCCCATGCAGGTCAGTGTTGGCCCTTTCTAAAATCAATGATGAATTTAGCAAACTTGAATTTTTCCTGCTTGTTTAGGTGACATTCTACAAGGGAGATCCAAGACAGCATTTGACGGACTGTAAAATGTGGTGAATTTGTTTGTGACGCGGAATTATTCTGCTGGCATTTCCCAAGGCCAGCAAAGACACCAGATTTAGGTACTGGCTCTGAGTTTTATAATTGTTTTTTTATGTTTGTTTTATACATACCTTCACGTTTCGTACATTAAGTCTACAAAAGCTTTACCATTTTAAAGCTGCTCAAGTAGACAAAAGCCATATCCTAGTCATTCATCATAAAACAAGCTTAATTATGCTAGGACATATTGACGCTGCATCAGATTTTTAATCTTCAACATAATTTTATAACCATTGCTAACAGATGGGCTGATTACACTGAATTTGAGTTTTAAGTAATAGTTAAAAATTATAAAATATGATTAAACTGAAAATAGCCATGCATACATAATTTTCAGAAGCTACTGAAGGAAGGAAAAACAAGTGCAGTAAAACCTCTTTTCTTGTTTCCTGAGGGAAATACATTGCATTTGTGGACAGTTATCAAAGTTCCTTAAATGACTCTGTAAGCAGCGGGTCCTATTGGCAGTTCCTCTCCTGTGCAATTACAACAGCTCTGCAGAACCTTATTCTTTCCATAGGTCTGCAGCTCTATTCCAGCATAAAAGGCATAAATTTTTCTATTTCAGAAGCTCTTTTATTGAAACAAGTGCCTTCTCTCTCTTTTTTTTTTTGCCAATGAAAATGAAAGCAAGGAGTAACTTAAATTACCATGTTCCTGCTCTTTAATAACAATAACAAATGGGAAATTCTTACAAAATAGAGGGACAGCTTTGTAGGACTAATGGAAGTTGCATGTGAATTTTCAACAGAAGGTGTCTTTTTTTTTCTTTTTCTTTTTTTCCCCAGTTATCATTTTAAGGTTTCAAAGGAAAGATAAGCCAGACTTCCCTCTCCCTGCCATTGTTCATGATGTGCTGGACATCTGTTTCACGTCACAAGGATGATAATGGGGCAGAGGTGACCAGTATCCTGAATTCTGGAATAGGGAAAATATAAAAATGAAATACTTTCAGCTCTCAATTCTGTATATTGCAAAAATAAAAGGGCCCAGTAGTCCTCCTATCCACTTATATCCTGGAACATCCTCTGGTCAATGAGATTGGCACAGAAAATGCTTGCAAGGCTCACGGCTGCTGTACTTCAAACAGATCTCCTGCCAACATCATTAGCATTTCTAGATGAAAGGAGATATGGGGTATGGACCATGCAAGAGGCTTAGGGGAAGCAGCAGCTTACTGAGCTTTAGTATCTTGTTGTAACTCCATTAATATCTGATAATCCTGTAAAGTAATTAATTAATGTTCAAAATGGCTTAATACCACCAACTTTTCATATATAGTTTCTCTGAATGTCATTAGGAACTTTAGCTACAACCTTTTTCCAGGATCTTTTCACCCTGAATTATGGAAGTGACAAGTGCAGTAAATGTGCATCATTGCAAGCAGCTATTTTTAAACAACGCTGTCTGGAGCAGACAGGTGTGTGAGTGCAGCCAACATGCTCACCCACAGCGGGGCTTTGGCACATCGGCTCTAACCCGACTTTAGCAGACCATGGCTGTGTCTCTCTGGCATCGTCTTGCACCCACCACCAGTTTGCCTTTCAGCCCTGTGCTAATGGTGAGTGTTCTGTGAGCCAACAGGCTGACAGGCAGCATCACCTTCTGCAGCTGCACGCGTGGCCGGGTGCTGGCTGAAAAGAAGGGAAGGAAGGACGGACGCAGGTAGGGTTCATGGCAGCGCTGTTGCTCCAAGCCTGAACAAGCTGGGTGAAAGCAGCAGAACTGCCAGTGGCATCTGTCTGCCTGAACAGCAGCGAGTCGCTGACCCCAGCAAATCCAGAGTCCTCAGCCTGGCTGTGGCAAGCACCTCCTTTACGGTCTGGCATGCCCTTGGAACCATGGCCTGCCTCCTCCCAGCAAACTGATTCACACAGCTGCAGCTGTCAGGGGTAGGTGACATCCAAATGGCAGGTTCTGTTGTCTTCTCTGTAGCCAGTGACAGAGCTTGTATTAATTACTAGTCTTTATTAGATGCAGAGTAAGGCTTGGTAGGTATCTTTAAGAAGGTGATCTTGGGACATGCTTTTCTTCTGCTGCTGGAAATCACCTCGGATTTGAGGCATGATTCTCTTCCTGTAATTGTCCTGTCACAGACTCACAGAAGCCTTGTTTAACAGCTTCCCTGGGATACTCGGGACACAGCAGAAAATGGGTATCATCTGATCTATATTGCTTAGTGGAAAGCAGATCATCCTGCAAATGGATCAGCAGAGAAAGACTGCCCAGCACTGGCAGAAGCTTCCAGTAATTCACTGCCCATTACTCCTGAGAAACAAAGCCTCCAGAAACTGTAGGGCAGGGCAAGGCAGTGATGCATCTTCACCCTGGGCTCGGCAGCGGATTTCTGTTCTGATGGTCCCTGGATTTCTTCCTGTACAGTCTGGACAACAGATGTCTGACGCCCACAATGCAGAGAGCCTATGACCTCTCATTGAGCCTCTGGGCTTGGTATATGACTGACCAATAATACCAGAAGTGTTCTGCTTGTTCCAGTTCAGGTTTAAAATGCTTACAAAGTACCTGTACACACTGGCAGGAAAACTGCTGAGAAGCAAGAGGTAGAAGTAAGTTTAACATTAGGGATTTGTTGAGGTGCTCAACATTACTCTTGGTTGCTGTCCAGACTCACTGCACATTAAGTACCTGCTGGCTCAACTCTATGGTGATGTTTTCAGCTGCCAGCACCAAGCTCCGTGCCCCCAGGCTACTGCTTCCTGGCAGAACTACCAGCTGAGTTGCTTCTGCTTCCATACTTTTCGTACTCTGCACACAGGGTCTCATACAGACACCTCAGCTCACACCCACCAATTTCAGCCTTGCACAAATGCCCGTGGGGGATAAGTCTGTGGTGGAGAGAGAAGAGGAAAGCTGGGCAGGGGATGAGTTCCCTTCCTCTGACAGAGGTTAAGGATACCCCTCACCAATAGGTGCAAGTCTTATTTTCAGCTCCCCTCTTTACCTGATTTACAGCAAGGCTCTTCACTTTGCTTAATAAACAAGAGGACAGAGGCAGACTTTGCATCTATATGCAGATGAACTCTTCCTATCAGTAGTAGCAACCAGTGTAAAAGCTTTCCAGGATCTCCTGCTCTTTACCTAAGCAGTTCTCCATGCATTGTATAAGGAAGCTAGACATTTGTACTGTTTTTTAAACCAAACTGTTCATATGTAAAATAATATAGGAAGGTTTGAGTTAAATAATGTTCAGGCAGCATCTAATAAAGCATAACACACAATGCTTTTTAGTTCATGGTGGTTTTCATGTAGTGGTTTTCAAAGTCTTTACTTTTTCTATATTGTACTCAAATTCGGCACTTTTTCTTTTCTCCTGATTTTGGACTGTTGTTTTGGTGTATACTTCGTAAGTCAGTCTCAACTAGCAGTCTGCAAGCCTTCATCTCATTAATATTATCAGAACTGTCAGTCACATCTGCAACTGTCCATACCAAATAATTAGACCAAACCAGATTGCCCATTTGGCAGTGGTTGACGAATACGATGCAAAAATGCTCTATTTCTGTTTGCATTAACTTTTTGACAGAGAAGAATGATAATTTCCAAACTGTTTAAATTAGTTTCTCATGCACCAGGAGCTGTTACACATTTACATAAAGCTCTGTTGCTTTTTCAGAAACTTCCAACCACTACAGACAGCATTAAATATGTCTTTAACAACCCACTAAACACATCATTAAATATTACCACAAAATATCTGCTCTATCCTTTAAAAGTCAAAGGTTTTACTTTCAGGAAGTAATACTACAGTCAGACTTTTGTTCTGTAATCTACTGTGTGGTAGAACTCAAATTTTAAAGACATCTCTATTAATGTCTCTTGGAAAATTTTTTATTTTTTCTATTTATTTATTTATTTTAAAAAGCTTTTTAGAAGCACAATCCTCTTGAGATGAATAAAACTCCTCCCAGGTACAGAAGCTTACAAGGAGCCACAATGCAAGTTCAGTAAGTCACTTTCAGAATGAAAAGAACCTCCATGTTCTGCACTATTAAGTAGCCTAAAGAGGCTTTTAGTTACTGCATTATCTGAAGTAACGATAGCCGATTTAGGGAAAAACATTATCTAGTTCGACTTGATAAGATTACTGTAACGAAAGAGAAGCTGCTCTGAAACGATTTTAGGGATTTCTGTGGAACTATTAGACACAAAAATAATCTCTCCTTCCCATTAATATCATAACATTAAAATTTAAATAACTTTCAAAGTAAGCAGCTGTTCACCAGTGTAGCCACTAGGGGCAAACTACCTCTCCCAAAGTCCAGTAAGTAGTTGCAGAAATACAGGTTATTGAGGAAAGTGAAAAACGTGAATACCACCGGCATTAATCAAA